GGCCCTCGCTCTGTGTGTGTACAGGTTTATGTGTCACCCTGCAGGCCCTAGCTCTGTGTGTACACAGGCTTATGTATCACCATGCAGGCCCTCGCTCTGTGTGTGTACAGGTTTATGTGTCACCCTGCAGGCCCTAGCTCTGTGTGTACACAGGCTTATGTATCACCATGCAGGCCCTCGCTCTGTGTGTGTACAGGTTTATGTGTCACCCTGCAGGCCCTAGCTCTGTGTGTACACAGGCTTATGTATCACCATGCAGGCCCTCGCTCTGTGTGTGTACAGGTTTATGTGTCACCCTGCAGGCCCTAGCTCTGTGTGTACACAGGCTTATGTATCACCATGCAGGCCCTCGCTCTGTGTGTGTACAGGTTTATGTGTCACCCTGCAGGCCCTAGCTCTGTGTGTACACAGGCTTATGTATCACCATGCAGGCCCTCGCTCTGTGTGTGTACAGGTTTATGTGTCACCCTGCAGGCCCTAGCTCTGTGTGTACACAGGCTTATGTATCACCATGCAGGCCCTCGCTCTGTGTGTGTACAGGTTTATGTGTCACCCTGCAGGCCCTAGCTCTGTGTGTACACAGGCTTATGTATCACCATGCAGGCCCTCGCTCTGTGTGTGTACAGGTTTATGTGTCACCCTGCAGGCCCTAGCTCTGTGTGTACACAGGCTTATGTATCACCATGCAGGCCCTCGCTCTGTGTGTGTACAGGTTTATGTGTCACCCTGCAGGCCCTAGCTCTGTGTGTACACAGGCTTATGTATCACCATGCAGGCCCTCGCTCTGTGTGTGTACAGGTTTATGTGTCACCCTGCAGGCCCTAGCTCTGTGTGTACACAGGCTTATGTATCACCATGCAGGCCCTCGCTCTGTGTGTGTACAGGTTTATGTGTCACCCTGCAGGCCCTAGCTCTGTGTGTACACAGGCTTATGTATCACCATGCAGGCCCTCGCTCTGTGTGTGTACAGGTTTATGTGTCACCCTGCAGGCCCTAGCTCTGTGTGTACACAGGCTTATGTATCACCATGCAGGCCCTCGCTCTGTGTGTGTACAGGTTTATGTGTCACCCTGCAGGCCCTAGCTCTGTGTGTACACAGGCTTATGTATCACCATGCAGGCCCTCGCTCTGTGTGTGTACAGGTTTATGTGTCACCCTGCAGGCCCTAGCTCTGTGTGTACACAGGCTTATGTATCACCATGCAGGCCCTCGCTCTGTGTGTGTACAGGTTTATGTGTCACCCTGCAGGCCCTAGCTCTGTGTGTACACAGGCTTATGTATCACCATGCAGGCCCTCGCTCTGTGTGTGTACAGGTTTGTGTGTGAGTCACCATGCAGGCCCCTGTGCTGTGTGAGTGTCACCATGCCGGCCCTAGCTCCGTGTGTGTAGGTTTATGTGAGTGTCACCATGCAGGCCCTAGCTCTGTGTGTGCAGGTTTATGTGAGTGTCACCATGCAGGCCCTAGCTCTGTGTGTGTACAAGCTCTCAGTTCTAAGCCTCTGTCTCTCGTGTGCCCACTCGGCACTTCAGCTATGGCTTCTAGGTTCCCAGGCTGCCTTTCTGGCCTCTGCTCCTTTCTCTCTGCTGTGTCTGTTGTGTTCCATGCTGCAACCCCTGTGTGTGGGAAGCAAGAGGCTTCCTGGCTGCAACCGTCCATCCGTTCACAAACTGTCATTCCACAGAGGCAGCCTACAGCAAATTGTGACTGTGGACTTGGGTCACTCAGCAGTGGGCCTCTCCATCGCTGCCTTGCTCTGTTTTCCACGAAACTGCAGGGGCGTCTTTTTGAAGTAC